CTCACCTCCACAAACTCGCGGCTGACCATCCCATCCCCCACCTTGCGCCCCAGCCTGGCCAGCGCCCACAGGATGACCTGCGCGGCGCCAGGGGCGGCAGCGGCAGCAGGTGACCGACACGGGCGCTGGCAGCCTTTGTTCTTAGAGGTACTCTTAGAGGTACAAGGCACCCCTACGGCACCCCTAAGGCACCCCTACGGAAGCCGGGGGCTGCCCGCCTCCCCGCCCCGCGCTGGCTGGGTGCCGCACCGGGCGGCGCCAGCAGCCCCGCGCGGCCCCGCCCGGCCAGGCACCCAGGCCTGGGCCGCCCTGCGCCGCGCTCGCCCCGCCCCTGGCGCCACCAGCAGCCGCCGCCGCTCACCGACACGTCCCCTGTGCGCAGCTCATCCGAGAACTGCCGCGCTTTCCTCAGCAGCGCATGCATCAGCTCGTCTGCGGGCAGGCAGGCGGGCAGGCAGGCAGGCAGGCAGGTAGGTAGGTAGGCAGGCAGGCGGGCAGGCAGGCAGGCAGGCAGGTAGGTAGGTAGGCAGGCAGGCAGGCAGGCAGGCAGGCAGGCAGGCAGGCAGGCAGGCAGGCAGGCAGGCCGAGAGGCAGGCCGAGAGGCAGGCAGGGAGGCAGGCACGCGGCGGCAGCGGCAGCAGCAGAGCGACACGAGCGCCGCACGCCGGGGCAGCCAACAGCAACACGTGCACGGGCAAGCGCCGTGCCGCGCGCGGCGGCTGCGCGGGCGCGCACCGGTGGGCGGCAGCTGCAGGCGCGCGGCTCCAAACAGGAAGAAGGGAGCGGAGGAGAAGTTGAAATCCTCCTCCTGCGCCAGCACCGCCGCCCCCAGCCGCTCCCACAGCCGCTCGGTGACCAGGCTTCCCAGCGACAGCGCGCCTATCGCCCACACCACCGTCACCAGCTGCCTGCGGGGTGGGGGGAAGGGGCCAAGGGGGGGCAGGCGTGGGATGGCAGGCAGCGGCGGCGGGCGTGGGCTTGCGGAGCAGCGGCGGGCGTGGGCCGGCGGGGAGTGGGGCACGGGCCAAGCACGCCGGGGGGGCGACGGCGGCACCGGGGCTGCCACCGAGCGAGCATGCATCGCGTGGCAACAGCTCATGGGCCAGCCTGCGGGCAGCCAGCCGCCGCAGCCTTTGCATGGGTGGGCCGGCGGTCCCCCCGCCGGCCAAGCCCGCACCTGTTGTTGGAGCTGGGGATCTGCCACTCAAAGGCGTCCAGCAGGGCGGTGAGGGCGGCGTCGTCTGCACAGCACGGCACGGGGCAGCGCAGCGCGTCACAGCACGCCCCAGCGCAGCGCAGCGTGGCACAGCGCGGCATAGCACAGCGCGCAGCAGCGCAAGCACAGCACGCGCCACGGCGCCGGCGGGCGCGCCCCACGCGCCCACTCGTCAACCCTTCCGCCCCGCCCCTGCCGCCCGTAGCCTGCTGCTGAGCAAGGCTCCCAGAGGAGGCCCCCCCACCCTGTGCCCCTCGCCCCGCCCCCGCCCACCGCCCGCCGCCCCGCCGCTCACCTGGGCGCACGCGCAGGCAGGCGAGGGAGAAGATGACTGCGCAGAAGGACTCGGGTGAGAAGGCGGAGAGCTGGGGCAGCAGCACCTCCACCATCGTCACCAGGCGCTGAGGCCCCGGATGGAACTCCCTGCGGAGGTGGGAGGGCGGCGACAGGAGGAGGAGGTCAAAACGGGGAGGCAGGATAACAGGCAGGGGGACCTGGCAGGGGGCAGGGGGTCAGCCAGCAGGCCGCCCACAACGTTGCCCTCCACACACATGCGCGT